CCCCGTCCACGCTGCTTGCTCTTCACCCCGTGGCTCCCAAAGGGCTCCGCGCATTTGGATGGGGACACAAATGATTCCCTGCCAGGCCCTTGGCTCCTACCACCTGGCTCCAGGTCCCGTCCTGGAGCCAGCAGCGCTGTGGAAGGTGTGGGCTAGAGCACGGTCCTTGTGAGATGTCACCCGTCCCCTGGCCCTTGTCGGTGGAGAAAACCCGGAAGCAATTGAGATGGTTAGGGGAATCTGCTTAGAACACATGCCTTTGAGAGAAGCACAAGGAGCAGGGAAAATTGATACGGAATCATCCTTTATGTAGAAAAAACATTTTGAAGACTTTTCTCTTTCCATGTGATGCAATCCGGAGCCCTTCAGCTTCTGCGGAGGACCCCAGTCCTCTGCCGGTCTCTTTTAACAACTATTAGTTGGGTGGCTGCCATGGGTCAGGCTCTGCGTGAGAGGCTGGGGGATTCCTGAAGAACAAACCAGACAAAATACCTGCCCTCTTGGGTCTTAGAGCAAAGTGGAGGAGGTAAATATCTAACAGATAATTATAGCAGAAGTATCGAATTATGTTTGAAAAGTGTTAATAAGGAAAGTAGCAGGGACTGCTACAAAGCATGTAAGTGGGGACCTAATCTCGTGCTGGGAGTAGGAAGGGGTCACAGGAGCTCCTTGAGGAAACACATTTAATCTGATACCTGCTGGATGAGCAACCATCACTGAATTAAAAGCCAAACAAAGAATTTTATGTACCTCCAAGAGAGGTAAGTCTAGACTTTCACAGGGCTCATAACCAACTAATTTGCCCCCTCCTCTAGGTAGTACTAGATGGTCTGCTTTGCCACATGTGGCAGAATACTAGGAAAGCCAAACATTGGACAATTGCTCCCAATATCTTCACCCTTCCTGTGAGGGGTTGATGTACAAGTTCCAGAAAAATAACTGAACTGCCACTCTTGAGGGGCAAAACCATAGTTAAGGTCAAGGTAGTTTTACTAATGTTTGGAAACCAAGGATTCGGGCATTCATATTCGAGAACCCTCTATAGATACTCAGAGTATCCAAAACATTGATGGAAAGGAATTCACTCAGGAGACGCAATCTGACGGTCTCTTCAGGTTTGCATGGAGCAATGGGCAGAAATTAATAGAAAAAACACATCCATGAGTACCCAGTGAAGATGATCCACCCAGAGGACTTACCTTCTGGACAGCAGTTTGTCACAATAAATCAAAAGCCTTAGAAAGGTTTACATGAGACCACGCCACCTCTAAAAATTCTTGTATAAGATGGATGGCCACTGTCCCCTTATTTAATACAGAGGAAAGTTGCCAACAAGGCACATGGTCAAAAATAAACCTTCAGCTCAGGGGTGCTCAATGGTGGTACTCCTGGCATTCGGGAGGGGTGGCTTTTTCTTTGTGCAGAATCATCTGGTAATTTTCAGGATGTTAAGCATCTCAAGCCTCTACTCATTTTAATGCTAGTGGAACTATTTTGACAATAACTACCCCCTTCTAAACATACATTTCCAAATGCTCCCTAGTGATGGGTGGGACCACTGCAGATAAGAAACTACCAATGAGGACCAGACAATCATTCCAAAGGATAATCTGGATCTAAATACACGGATACCAAAAACTGTTCACAATACATGAAGTGAAACAAAAGTCAGGGTAAGTTTGACAGCATCATCACATTTTTGTCTAAAACAAAATGGAAAGTTTTCCCATTACAAAGATACTTGCTGCACGCATACAATAAAGGTTGCAAAACAATAGTCCTTGATTCGTGGAATTATGGGTGACCTACCTAGAACACGGTAGGCACTCGAATAAATGTCTGCTGATGTGAGTCAGCCTTTTATGTCTTGATTGAGCCAGAATTTTGCTGCCAGATCCTTTAGGTTTTAACATCACTTTGATTCAGTGGTTCTCAACTGGGGTGACCAACCCAACCCCAGGGTCACAGGACACTGCCTGGAGACAGGTTTGGTCACCCCAAGGTCCAGGGGAGCGGGTGGTGTATGCTACTGGGATCTAGTGGTAGAAGCCAAGGAAACTGCTAATCATCCTACATTGCACAGGACAACCCCAACAGCAAAGAATTATCCAGCCCAGAATTCCAATAGTGCTCAGGTACTGAAACCCTGCTCACCATCTGCCTTTCTTACAGCTTGTTAAGTATCCTCCAAATTCTTCCTGAAGTATCATCTACTGTAAATTGATCACTAGAACATCTCTAGAAGACAGAGATATTATTAACTGATTTGAAGACAAACTGGAGCTTGAAAGAAGACTACAGATGGTCAGTCAGGGCAGTTGAGGTACTGGAGGGCTCTCTGGATGACGTGACACACCTTGTTTGAGGTGAACAGAGCGGAAGGATGGGAGCAACCTCACTGATGACTTTTCAGTCTGGTCATTAAAAATCATGGCATAAATGCTCTTCCTTTCTGGCATCATCTATTATATTTATCACTTTTTGCTCTACTTTAAGAAGGTCAGGTTTTGCAGCTAGTAGGTTTTTATGAAATTAAATGCCCCTATTCAAAAACACCTCCCTAAACGGGAGGTGACTTCCAGGTGCATTATACTTAATTGAAGGCATTTCTCAGAAGAAATAGAATAATAAAGAGTATCACCTGAAGGTGTACTACCAACCCCATGATCAGGGAGTCAAATGAAAGGTTTTTAACAGAAATGAAAGCACATGACTCTCAACTCTGGCCTTTCGTATTTTGCCTGTAGCACAAAGCATTTAACTTGCACTGTAATTTCTCTTGATAGAAAAATGAAGTTTCTTAAATCAGAGACAACTAGACATGATATTAAACATCAGCATTTTTAGTGAAAAGCATTCAAGGTCTCAAATTTGTCTAATCTTAGAACATTCCACACAGCTTTTAAAAAAAATCTTTAAACATATAAATAGTTCCATAAGTAACAGATTTTAAAAGATCTTATAATTTTAAAATTTGAATTCCATTTCTTTCAGGTAACATGATCCCTTCAGACACCTTTAAATGCAGACTCCATTTTATTAGGCAAATATACAGCCCTTCAAATGGCTTGAAGAGAGAGTCTCTCTGGAGAACAACAGCCCTTCCTAACCCTCTGTGTCACGTAAGTCTGAAGAAATTCAGGGAATAGAGAAAACCACCCAAGGAATAGCAGAATTATAAGAGATGGAAATATCCGTTCATTGGACATAATTCAAACCACTTGTTTAATAGCATTAATTGTTTTCTGTCAAAACAAATCAAGAAAATTGTTTTATATTTCCCCAAAACGCTCATTTTGGGTGAGTCAAGTAGCCTTTAAAAATACTATCAGCACTCACTTTTGGAATTGGTGAACTGAACCAAGACCCCAACTTCTGCAACTGTCTGTTCTCTTGGGCCAACCAAAAATTTTCTTTGCGTCTGGAAATCATAGGATGATGTTTCATTGTCTTAGAGAAGAGTCTACCTAAACAGGAACCCCAAATAGCTTAGCTTCAGAATTTCAGGGCCCAATTTAGCAGAAAGTGAGGTGAACAAAAGAAAGATGGGTCTCCTAGAAGCTGCTGCAAATGAGGTTAGCAAGAAAATGAAACAAGCTCACAGATGTATCTAGGTGTGAAAACTCCCTGCTCAAACACTGGCAGGAGAACAGTGATGTCAAACAAAGATAGTCAATCACCCACCACCTCATTTGAGTGTTCAGACAAACTCAATCAAATGCTCTCATTCTTCTGAAGCTTACTCTTTAATAATACAATCTTCACCGAAACAGAAGGAAATAAAGATATAACCTTAACCTGCAAACCGAGAGAAAATGTTCTTATTTCTTCCTGCTGATATCTCAAATCCTCACGGAGATTATTTTCTGTGAATGTTTCTGTTCTAAAACATTTTCTTCCTCATAAGAATGAGAACAGAGATCACAAAAATGAAGTGCCTGCAGGGCTTAGGAAGGTCTTCTTCAAGACATAAATATGAACTTTTACATAAAAACTCCTAATATTTAAGGATTAGTAACTAATTCAAAAATTTAAATAATACTTTGCTGGCTAAACAAATCCTACCTGTGTGCCTGATTTCGGGTGCCAATTTGCGACCTCAAATATTGGAAGAAGAAAATGGCTAATCAAAGAGATGTTATTAGGGGTCCACTCTTGAGTTGTTTGCAAATTCCTGGGTCTTCCCTAATCATAAAGAACTTTTTCTAGCAGGATTATCACACCAAAAGTCCCTGACTTTAAAATTTCAGGGTATTTTAAGCTTCCAAACATTCTGTCTGACATAGGGAAGATCACCAGAGTCGGCCATTTTCTGTCTCAGAGGGGCAAAACTAGGGTGTAGCTCTCAAAGATGATGAGAGTGTCTAGCTTAAGGAAGGGGCTTCTAAACCAACATGAGGCTGGTGGAGGAGAAAACTCCAAGGACAGAAATGCAAAGCAGAGGCTCTCACTGAGGAAAACGCAGTGAAACAGAAAGAAACCGAGTTCATCTGATCGAGCCAATAATATTTGCAGCCTGTAGGTAGTTCAAATATTTCAGGAAATGCCAATGTCTTTCTTTGTAAAGCAAGGCCAAACTTAGTATTTAAACACAGCATATATCACTGGGAAGAATAAGGCAAATCCTTATGTCCTCACTCACCTTTAACAAAGAATCTTAAAGATGCACGGCCAATGTAGAACTCCCTTCCCCCCTTCAAAAATCAAATTTCCCTTTCTAATGTTTCAAAGCCAACGTTTCTGAGAAGTTTCTAGTCAATCTTCTGTTGACAGTTAATAATGACAATCCAGAATGAATTAGCAATGGCCCACGTAGGACTCATTTTCATTTCTCTTCCTAAGTGCCCACTGGTGCCCCAGACATTGTCAACCCATGGAGCCCCAACCACTTCTCTGAATCAGCAAAGTGAACTCGTCCTTCTGAGCTGGAATAAGGAAGGATGGGCAGGACGAAGATAAACAGCCCAAACCACAACTGCCCTCCCCATCAAGAATGGTACCTGTTCAGGCTTCAGCCCCGGCGGGATCCAGGCGTACTCCTCCAAGGCACAGCCTGAGTCGTCGTCTGATGTGGAGTTCCTCTGGAAGTCAAACATGAGTTTGCTGACAGTCTTCTCCATCTCTAGGGGCATCACTGTCACCATGTGCTCCTCCTGAGGGCACTTGCAGTGTAGGCAGATCTTCCTGCAAGCAGCAAAGGCGGGAGATGAGAAGGAAGGCAAAAGAAACCATTTTTCACCTGGCTGCCAGTCATCAGCCCTTGGATCCCAAGCCATAAATGCATTCCTTGGCAACTGCCTTTTGGCAAGAGCGCCTAAAGTGGCGCCCCACAGCACACCTGTCTTCTTGGAAGGTGTGGTGCTGCACACGTGGAAACGTCACAAAAGGTCAGAGGCCACTAGTTAAGCCTCATGAGAATGTTCGAACATGGACTCCAACCTATTCTTCTAAATCAGTATCCCAAGAGCAATGTCAAAATATCTCTTACACTTAGTAGAGCACTGGATATGGACCATGACTGCAATTTTCTTAACTATAATAGTAATTAAACAGACATAATACATATGCTGACCAGAAATATTACCAGTGGATTTAACAAATACTGACAACATACCATTTTCATAAAAATGTCCTAGAAGCTTGGGAAATGGTAGATGTTTTAAAGAGAACTGCAGGTGAGATTTTCTTTAAGAAAAAGAGCAAGAATATATTTTTTCCACCAAACAAATCTGGCCCCAAGATCTCATGGAAAAGACATTGTCACCTCTACTAAATATCCCCATAGGTTTGAAATTCTAATCAGAAACCCAAATCTTTCCTACATTGGTTTTTTTTTTTTTTTAAATATACAGTACAAGAGGATCATGCATGTGAATTATTTTAAAAGGTAGCAGCCAAAGATAAAATCTCTCCCCAAAGTTGAACATTTCTCTTTTAAGGTTACCATCTGTTCCCTTTTCCACGGCTACAAAAATGATGAAGCAGTGAAAAGGTTGATGTCAGCAGCACAAAAGCATTTCTAGCTTCTACCAATAAAAAAGAGAAGAAAAAGAAATCATGGAGGAAAATTTTTAGAAAATGAGTTGTTGTACGTGGTATTCAGATCTTTATTAGTTTCAGTAGCATCTTATCCAGGCCATAAGAGGGCCCAGAATCCTAATCCCTACATGGGCTTAATTTTTTTGACAACAGCTTTGTTAAGATAGAAGTCCCGTTATCACCAAGGTCACCATTTTAAAATGTACAAATCACTGGCTTTTAGTGTATTCACAGAGTTGTGAAACCATCACCACTATTTAATGCTAGAATGTTTTAATTAACCCAAAAGAAACCCAGGGCACATTAGCAGTGACTTTCTACACCCCCTTTCCCCCCAGGCCCTGACAACCACTAACCTATTTTCTGCCTTTGTGGCTTTGCCTGTTCTAAATTCCGTATGTATGGCATCATGCAATACTAGTTTTTTGAAACTGGCTTCTTTTATACAGTAGGCTGTTTTCAAGATTAATCCATATTGTAGCATGTGACAATCCTTCCTTCCCTTTTACTGCATTATGATATTCCAGAGTATGGTTAAGTTACATTTTGTCCATCTATCCAATCAGGTGGCCATTTGGATTGTGTCCACTATTTTTACTTTTGTGAATACTACCGCTCTACGTATTTCTATACAAGTATTTTTGTGTGAACACAGGTTTTCAATTCTCTTGGCTATATACCCAGGAGTAGAATTGCTAGGTCAGATGGTAACTTGATGTTTAACATTTTGAGGAACTGTCAAACTGTTTTTCAGAAATAGCTGTACCATTGTACATTCCCACCATTAATGAATGAAGTGTTTTATTTTCTCTACATCCTTGCCACACTTTTTAGTATCTTTCCGTTGTTTCCATCCTAGTGGGTATGGAGTGGCATCTTATTGTGATTTTGATTTGTACTTCCTTAATAGCTAATGATATTGAGCATCTTTCTATGTGCTTATTATATATCCTCATTGGAGAAATGCCTGTTCAAACTCTTAGTCCGTGTTTAAACTGTTATTTATCTTTTTATTGTTGCATTATAAGCATTCTTTATACATATTTCTGAATACAAGTCCTTTATCAGAAATAGGATTTGTAAAAATATTCTGTGGGTGGTCTTTAGTTTTTTTTTTTTTTTTAATTGTATGAACACTTCCAAGTCTGTTCTTTTTTTTTTTTTTAACATAGGCCTTTGGGATTTTAATTAACTAATTATTTATTTATTTTTACTGGAGGGGGGCAGAGAGAGAGGAAGAGGGAGAATCTTAAGCAGACTCTGTGCCAACACGAAGCCTGATGCAGGGCTTGATCTCACAACCCTGGGATTGTGACCTGAGCCAAAATCAAGAGTTAGATGCTTAACTGACTGAGCCACTCAGGTGTCCCTGGTTTTCACTTTCTTGATGATGACTACTGAAGCACAAACGTTTCTTATTTTGATAAAGTCCCACTTATTTTTCTCTTGCTATTGCTGTGCTTTTGGTATCCTACCTAAGAAACCACTGTCTAACTCAAAGTCATAAAGATTTATTCCTATGTTTTTATCTAAGATGTTTATGGCTTTAGCTCTTATATTTGGGTCTATGTTCCATTTTGAGTTAGTTTTCAAGCAAGGTAGGAGTCCAACTTCATACTTGTGTAGTTACTCAACTGTCTTAGCACCATTTGTTAAATAAAAAGTCTATTCTTTCTCCATTGGACTGTCTTAGCGTCCTTGTCAAAAATCAGATGATCATAAATGTAAGGTTTATTTCTGGATTTTCAGTTCTATTCCATTGAGTTATCTGTCTGCCTTATGCAAATACCACTCTGTCTTGATCACTGTAGTTTTGCAGTAGGTTTTGAAATTGTAAATGTGAATCCTCCAACTTTGTCTTTGTTTTAAAAAAAATTGTGCTAGCTCTCTTGGGTCCCTGGCATTTGCATCATGAAATATGAATTTTAGGATTAGCCTGCCATTTTCTGCAAAAAATCTAGCTGGGATTTTGATAGGAATTGCACTGAATCTAGACATCAGTTTGGAGAATATTGCTATCTTAATATTAGATCTTCCAATTTATGAACAAAAGACGTCTTTCCATTTATTGCAGTCTATTTTTTTTTTTAAGATTTTATTTATTTGACAGAGAGAGACAGTGAGAGAGGAAACACGAGCAGGGGGAGTGGGAGAGGGAGAAGCAGGCTTCCAGCCAAGCAGGGAGCCTGATGTGGGGCTCGATCCCAGGACCCTGGGATCATGACCTGAGCCGAAGGCAGACGCTTAAGGACTGAGCCACCCAGGTGCCCCTATTTCATCTATTTTAATTTCTTTCAATACTATTTTGTGCTTTTCAGTCACAATCTTACACATATCTTGTTAAGTTTATTCCCAAGTATTTTATTCTTTTTGATGCTATTGTAAATGGAATTGTTTGCTTAATTTCATTTTCAGATTGTTACTGTATAGAAACACCAATGGTACATATACATTGATTTTGCATCATACAATCTTATTGAACTCGTCTTTTCAGTTTCAAGAGCAATGGTGTGTGTGTGTGTGTGTGTGTGTGTGTGTGTGTGTGTGTGTGTGTTTATTCCTTAGGATTTCCTATATACAAGATCATGTCATCTGCAAACAGAGCTAGTTTTATTATTTCATTTCCAGTTTGATACCTTTTATGTCTTTGTCTTGCCTTCTTGCCCTGGCCAGAACCTCCAGCACAATGGTCAACCCAAGTGGCAGTGGCAGACATTTTTGTCTTGTTCTTGATCTTAAGGAAAAACATCCAATCTTTCACCATCAAGTATTATTTAGCTATGGGCTTTTTGTAGATGCCCTTTATCAAGTTGAAGAAGATTCTTTCTACACTGGTTTGTTGAGTGTTGTTGTTATCGTTTGCATCACAAAACGGTGTTGGGTTTTATCAAATGCTTTTTTCCCTCTATTAAGATGATCAGTTGGCTTTTGTCCTTACTCTATTAATGTCTTGTGCCTAAATTTTGACACCAAAATGTACTCAAGAAACAAAATCAGTCTAGTTCAGCCAACTCAGTCTTGTCAGATTCTCCCACTTCCAGCTTTTCATCAGATTGAAAATATGCACAGACAGAATGCACACTTGGATCTGGTTTGCATCTCCAAACTCAAAGAGGTTTCTTCCAAACCCTGGCTGCTACTTTTAAAAATAGTCAGAGCCCATTTTAACAGTAACTCTTTAATTAACCAGCTACTGTAAAGAAGTCAGGGGTGTTAGGAAGTGGTCAGGGATTTTTCCCTCCAGTTATTTTTATACCAGTTAATGACTTAAGGAAAAAAAAAAAAAACTCTTGTGTGTTTAAGCAACCTTAGGAAGCTCTTTGGTGACTAATGGCTTATACTAGAAAGCCATACTTTTCAAACAAAATGTAAAAGAATTTTTAACAAATTCAGTCTCCAGAATATTCATCTGTACAACCCATGTATTCAGCAGTGCAGGGAAGCAAGTGTAATAATACAATATTTAATGTTTAATGGACATAATCTAATGAATTGAAGCTCCAGAAGAAGAAAAAAGACAAGAAGAAAACAAAATACAGAATAACAGAACCAGACCCAGAATGAATCTCACTGAGTAGAACTATGAACAGAACAGAGAAAGGGGAGAGGGCTAAGGGCCGATTTCGTCACCCAACTATCAAGCACCTACCATGTGCCAGGCACTGCTCTTGCACTCAGGAAATCTAACCAAAACAAATAAGGATCTCTGCCTTCCTGGAACTCGAGCAATCCCCCTACCAAATAATTTGATCAAATAGCATATTAAAGATGCTAAGCGCTAGGGAATGCAAGAACGGTGAAGCTGGATGAGGGTGGTCTGAATTGCGGAGGGTGCATTTGGCTTATGTATACCTTATACCCGTGAGCCCAGATCTGTACACCAGCCCTCCAAGAAAGAAAATATCATCCCCACTTTCCAGAGAAGAAAACAAAGGCCCAGAGAGATCAAGCAACATGTTCAAAGTAAACCCTAAATGGTGAGCAGAACAGAGACTCAAAATAGGATTTACTTGATCCCTGAACCCTAACAATTAACTGCAGAAGGCATACCTGATCCCAAGCACAAAATACCCTTTTGCTCTTGATCAACAAACACATTCAGAAAAATCAAAATCAAAGAGAAAACAAAGAAAAAAGAAAACAAA